AATAATGTCTAAGGCATCACTGATGTTCTGATTGTGGTAATTATAAGTCTGTGGTATGTCATTAGGATCTTAAAACATGGTGTAATACTGCTGTGTATGTGTACCTAGATGGCATCAAATTCATTCTTTTAATTTCCATATTTTCAAAATTTTCTTGCCAAACCAATAGGGAGGGAGGCTTTTGGTTTGGGTTTTTTTTTTCTTTCTTTTTTTTCTACAAAGCTTCTGGCATCTGAAAATAACAAAAACCTAATAGTTCTTCCCTACTTCTAGAAGTGTCGTGGGGATTAATATAATGCAAGTATAAGTGCTTTCATAAGCACCATTATTTTAAAAAAATCCTTTGCAGATGTTAGCCTGCACATTGCTGAAACAGTAGATTCCCTTAAGGGCTGCAGGGCATAAATCACAATCCCAGAATCCTACAGTTTTGTAACCCACACACTGTAGCCCTGGAGAGCAAGACCCCAAGAACCAGAGAGGGAAGTATCAACAGCTAACGTGGGCCTAGAATCCCTTTCCCTGTCTAGCTTCTGGAATTCAAGAAGTCAATGAGCTTCCTTTGCAGAGGGAAAAAGGCTAATTGATTTTCCCTCTGCTCTAGGAGTAGGGTGTATGGACTTGAGGGTTGTTAACTCCCCCAAAGCCTCTCCTCATGACACTCCATTTAGGTCCAACACACTGAGTTCCCTGCCTTCAAAGAGACTAGGATTCCTCTTGCTTCCATCTGCAAAATGCATAAAACATAAAACACATTATGGCCCCCTAAAGGCATGATCTTGTGTCCTGCCTGTTATTAAAAGAATAGGGAGAAATTTTGTTTAGGACTACTGCTGTTCCTTTGAAAACTAATCCTGGACTAACCCCACAGCAAGCGTGTGATCTTTTCTGATGCAAAACAATATATGGCCTCTGGATTCACAGATTTCTCCAAATTTTTAGAAAATTTATTTTTAATAACTGCTAATTTAGTTCATGTTAGCTTGTTTTCATTTCTATGACATTGGAACCACACTCGTCATGGGTCATTTCCAAGTCCCAGAAGGAAAAACATTCCTTAAACAGGAGTACTTTTATTCATCATCTCTTTATTCCACTCAGAGGCTAACAGGGCTATGATTATAGAAAAGAAAGACTGGTTACCCTAATCACAAGCAAGTCATACGTTGCTTTCCCATTTTAGGAACTCAAACTAAAGCAAAAGTGAAAAGATATCCACAGAAGTGAAGGTGTGTTATCTATCCCTGAAATTTTCAAAACAAGAAAGCGGCTTTTTGTTTCCTTGGCTGCCATCTAGTGGTTAATGGTGTCTAACTGATCAGTCTAGCTGATCTCCAGTTAGACTAGAGGAAAAAAGTATGTAGGAGAATTGGGAGGCAAGGTGCTGGGGATGCTGAGAAACTTATGTCGGCTAGGCAGAGGCTAGGTCACAAAGTGCCATTTAAGATTGTATTAGGTAACTATAAGGAGAACAACCAACTTCAAACCCTCAGTAGCATGCGACAATCAGCACTGATCTCTCACTGGGGCTGTAGGGGGCTGGGCTAACTAACTGGGCCCTACGTGTCTTTCATTCTCTCCTAGAGCTATCCCAGGACCAGCCAGCTAGCCTGGGCTTGTTCTTTTCGTGTCACCAGCAGAAGCACAAGAGAAAGAGTAGAACTATGTAAGGCCTTTTCAGACCTAGGTTTGGAGCTCACAGACCATCTCTCCTCTGCATGCTGTTAGCCAACGCATGTCACTTGGCTAAACCCAAGTCAAGAGGCAGGGAAATGTCCTCCATATCTTTAGTGGGAAAAAAAGCTGTAAACTCACACAGCAAAGGGATCAAATGGAAAGGAAGGAGGTGGAAAATGAGGCTAATAGTGCAAGCTACCACAGGTTCCATCTTGGAGATAGTGTGTTTGAGGTACTCATGGATGTGTCTAAAATGTGGTTGGAGAAACCCTTATGTAGTTTAAAATAGAGATAAAGCTTTGAGCTATGGATCGCAGAGTTCAAAGACCCCAGGCATGCAAACTCTTGGGTCTCATCCCACACCAACAGATTCAGAATTTTTGATTAGAAAGATCAGGAATCTGCCTTTGAACTTGTTTCCCAGGTGGTGATTCCTATTTACTGAAGATTGAGGCTCGCTGGTAGGCAAATGAAAAAGTAAAGAAAAGGACAAGGAACAAACATAAAAAAGAAAATAGGTGAAAAAAAGAAATGACTTTCACAAAAAAATATATTAGAAATAGTGGGATGAGACATAACAGAAACCAGAGAATAATGGCAACCAGATACCAAAGGGGAGAACCTTAAAACACAAACATCAAATTATATTAAATGCTGCCCACATGGCAAATTGGATGAAAACTGAAAAAGCCCTGAAAATTTGGCAATTAAGGAATATTGTATGAATAGGATACAATACTAATTCCGGGGATATCATTACATCTGTTTTGCAGGTGAAAAGAAAAAAAAAACTGGTATAAAATAAAATGAAGACCCACCATCTCTTCCACTCCTTCTTTCACAGGTTCCGTATTGTCATGGTGAAGTTGATTAATTCCACATCTAAACTGACATGTCACCTAAAAAGTTAATCTCAGGCTAATTTTTAAAGAAATAAAAATGGTATTTTTTGTTTCTATTGGTTCTCATATCATGCCAGATATTATTGATAATATGCCATAAAGGGGCTATTTCTAATAGTAAGGCTTTACTTATTTGAAAAAATAATTATTCCCTCATTTCTTCAATATTTTATTATGGGTTTCCTTTATTTTTTCATTATTTATACTGTAAGTTTTCTTAAGTAAGTCAAAGGATGTCAAAGAGTATATTATCACTAGTGCTTGAATTTCCAAGAGAGATCTCTAGAATGTAGCATCCTATTCATGTCACACGCTTTTTCTGAATGCCACGACCTCACATCCAGTCTCTAGGGAGACCCTATGCTGATTAGGCATCTCTTTTTTAAAAGATTGGGATATAATGCTATCAAATTCTGATTCATCCTACCCTACTCTGATCCATATAAATGCACCTTTAATTGAATGTGATTTGTTCAGATGTACTGATCAATTAAAATATGAACACCATGTGGACCTGTGATCCTACTACTCTGGGAGGCCCAGGCAGGTGGATTGCTTGAGCTAGGAGTTTGAGACCAGCCTGAGCAAGAGCAAGACTCCATCCGTACTAAAAATAGAAAAATTAACTGGGCATGGTGGCACATGCCTATAGTCCCAGCTATTCTGGAGGCTGAGGCAAGAGGATCACTTATGCTCAAGAGTTTGAGGTTGCTGTGAACTGTGACACCATGGCTCTGTACCCAAGGCAATAGAGTAAGACTCTGTCTCAAAAACCACACACACACACACACACACACACAAATACATCCACAACTCTATCTTAAAGAAATATCTTGTGACCTCATTAAGCATGCCCAGGTTGCAGTGATGAAAAGTTATTGCACCACCTGATGTATACCCTACCACAGATTGGAGACAAAAAACACAAAGTTGAGGAGCCTTTCATTGAGACCAAGACTTCAGCTAGTTTATACGTAGACCAGTGAGTGATAAGCCAATCAATACTGCTTCCCGAGAGCTTTGTCCACAGTGCTCAAAACCAGCATCAACTGTGTGGTTTTAGATTTACTTTCACTAAATTTCTCCTTTTGTGTTAATCTTTGGTGAACATATGTAATAGTCAAGCCAGTATTTAAGCAGAATCTCCATAGTTTTAAATTAATATTGGATTCTAGGTCTAAAGTATTTCAGTTTCAGATTCTCACAAAAAGAATTTCAGATTCTTAGGAAATGAATATAAATATATATATATATATATACACATATATATACATACATATATACATAGTAGAAACATCAAAAAATCTAAAAAAAATTCACATAAACCTCTGCCATTTTTCTCTTTCTAGGCTTTAAAGTTAAAAACAAAATAAAACACACACACCAAACAGCTGGCTTGGTAGCCAAGTCCTTCCACGTGGTTTCTCAGCCCAAGCTCATGGCTGCTCAGCTGAGCACAGCAATCTATATATGATTGCTGATATGTGAAATGTCACTATCATTTGTATTTGACATCAGAAGTTAACAAGAATATTCTGCCACAGACTCATCCTTCCTTGTTGTACATCACTGTGGAGTTTTAGGAGAAGAGACAACGGCTCTCACATGAAGTAGTAAAAGGTAGTGGTAACAAATGTGGATCATGGCATAGATTGTATGAGTTCAAATTCTGACTCTGCTATGTAATCATAGACCCCAGGAAGTTTACCAAACCCCTCTGTACCTTGGTTTCCTGAATCATAAAATGGAGATACCACTAGTACCTCCTACAGAGAGTTCTGTGAGGATTAAATGAGCTATGTATGTCAAAGAAAAGACTTAGAAGGATGCCTGGCACACAGATAGGGCTCGATAATTGTGAGCTATGATTAACATATCCACAGGTCTCCAAATATTTTATTAAAGAACACTAGTTGTCCAACTGCCTCAAAGTTTTGAAATGTCTGAGATTGGAGGATTTTAAAAATCAAGTCCCAAACTGTGGGAAGTGAGAGATTCATGAAAACTCTGTTGAACTCTAACACACTCAAGTCTAAATAACTTGATGAGTGGTAGTTAATTGTATCTTTTAACCTGACAATAAAACCTAACTTAAGAGATACACTTCCTATAGAACTTCAATGTAAGGCAAGTGGGAAGAGCCTTGTAAGAGCCTGGAAAACCACGTACCTCAGGTGGGGTTTACTCTGCCTACTTGTACAAACCTGGCTATTCACCTTGTCATAGTTAAGTTTTACAGAAAAATAGGCCTCTCTGTCTCTCTCTGTCTTTCCCTAGGTGTTCTCTGATTGTGACTTTGCTTTCTGGAGGTTTAGGTCCACGAGTGAACCTGCAAGATCTAATGCCTCCTTGAGAAAGGAAAATGGGGAGGAAAACAAAAACCCTCTCATGACTCAATTTCTTTTTTGGTATTATTTAAAGACACAGAAAGCCTAGAGAAACTCCTGAGAGATGCTGTCATCTACGGCCAGCCTCGAACACGCAGAGCTTGGAAAAAGATTCTCATCCTGGTGGAGGGGATCTACAGGTATGTAAATAACAGAAGGCATTTTAACACTCTGAGGTCTGTAGCTAGCTGACCAATAAGGAAAGGCTGACTTTACTAGCTAAATGGAGAAATGGGTTAGATACAGATATCAAAGAGAGACCTGAGACAGAGCCACCAATGGGAGCTGTTTGACCTTTGCTTCTCCTGTACTTGGGAATAACTTCATGCATATAGTGGCATGCATTGGAAGCTGGCATGCTTGTGAAGGCTTCCTCAGAGATGTCCTTATATGCCATTGCTGACTTACATCTGTTCTTCCACTACCTGCAGCTGCCTTACTGTCTCAAAGGTCTTTTGAAACTGGGTTATCCAACATTAGAGTGCCCCTTACCTTTATGACTGTAGTAGATGTTTTTTTGGACACCCCAGATGCCACTACCCAGACAGTGCACTCAAACCCACTGCTTGCTGAATCTATCCATCGATTGGCATCAGAATGCAGAAGGCCTGCCTTCCAGTTAGGGCTAACATGGAGTACAGTTCTTGCTCCCGAGCTAGGGCCTGGAGGTGGAATGATCTTAGCATCTAAAGATGTGCTCAAGTGTGAGTTTTCCTTTAAGCTGAGTAAAGGAAATACCAATTAAGCCATTCAGAGCTGCACTTTATATCAAGAGCCATAACTGAGTGTCCTGTACCCTCTGCCTCAATTTGTCATCCTTACTAAAATGGAAATTGTGTCCATATACCTTTTCTGTTAGACGCTCCCAGTTCATAAGCCAAGGAAACATCTCCATGTGTCCACTCCTAAATCAATCCTCAGACCATTCTCAGGGTAGAAGACTCAAGGGAGATATTTGGCATTAGATAATGATAGAAAAGTGGAAAATGTTAAAAGGAAGGAAGTAAAGGTTTTTAAGTTCTCAAAATGGAGTGTGTCTGCAAAGGATACTTAGCACAGCTTTCAACCCATTAATCTGATCAGTTGCTGAGTACACACCATTTCTGCTATGTGAATGAATAAATAATAAGCAGTAGCAGAACTGTGCCTCCATCCTTTTTGGAAAAAAGAAGTGAATTCTTCCAAACTTAAAATAATAAGGCTGGTATCATTTTTTTTTAATTTTAACTCTAGTGCTTATGATTGGTGATATGGATGTCCAAGTGCTACCTCAGGGTTGCAAAGTTGGCATTTCTGGTTTCCAGTAACCCACTTTCTGCATCTCCTATTAGTACCTCCTACAGGCAGCCTCAAGACTGTGTCCATCTCTGAGGTCACTCTAGACCAGGGGTTCTCTAGGGTTTTCTTGCCCTTGCCTCTAATCCAGGCACATTTGCCAATTTGCAGTTGCCACAATTGCAGTAGGGTATGACTGACATCTAGTGGCCAGTGGCCAGAGATGCTGATACACATCCTGCCATGCACAGGACAGCCTCCTCCCCAACCCTGCCACAAAGAATTATCTAGCTCAAAATGCCAGGGAACTGTCAAGGTTGAGAAACCCTGCTCTGGAATAATCAACTACTACTCACTAGCCCTAAACTTGCTACTTCTTTTTTTATTATTATTAAATCATAGCTGTGTACATTAATGCAATCACAGGGTACAGTGTGCTGTTTTCATATACATTTTGAAATACTCTCATCAAACTGGTTAACGTAGCCTTCATGTCATTTTCTTAGTTATTAAGTTAAGACATTCATACTCTGCTTTTAGAAAGATTCATTTGTACCCTTGTAGGATAAACCATAGAGGTCACCCCCCTCACCTCCCCTCTCCTACCTCCTTCCCATATTCTAGGGCTATAATTAGGTTATAACATACCTATGAAACCTACAAATTAGTTTCAAAGTAGGGCTGTGTACATTGGATACTTTTTCTTCCATTCTTGAGATATTTTGCTAAGAACATTTTCCAGTTCCATCCATGTAAACATGAAGAAGGCAAAGTCTCCATCTTTCATTAAGGCTGCATAATATTCCATGGTGTACATATGCCACAATTTATTGATCCATTCGTGGGTCGATGGGCACTTGGGCTTCTACCATGACCTAGCAATTATGAATTGGGCTGCAATAAACATTCTGTTACAATTATCTTTGTTGTAATTAGATTTTTGGTTTTCTGGATATATACCTAATAAAGAAATTGCAGGATTAAATGGCAGGTCTATTTTTAGTTCTCTAAGTGTTCTCCAGATGTCTCTTCAAAAGGAATGAATTAATTTGCATTCCCACCAGCAGTGTAGGAGTGTTCCCCTTTTTCCACATCCATGCCAACATCTCTGGTTTGGGGATTTTGTGATATGGGCTAATCTTACTGGAATTAGGTGATATCTCAAAGTAGTTTTAATTTTCATTTCTCTGATGATTAAGGATGGTGAGCATTTTTTCATATACCTGTAGGTCATGCGCCTATCTTCTTTAGAGAAATTTCTATTGAAGTCCCTTGCCCATCCTGAGAAGCAATCGCTTGTTTTTTTCTTGCTAATACATTTGAGTTCTCTATGGATTCTGGTTATTAAACCTTTGTTGGAGACATAATCAGCAAATATCTTCTCCCATTCTGAGGGCTGTCTACCTGCTTTATTTACTGTGTTCTTGGCTGTGCACAAGTTTTTAGTTTGATCAGGTCCCAAAAGTGTATTTTTGATGTTGCTTCAATTGCCTCATAAAGTTTTTGCCCAAGCCAATTTCTTAAAGTGTTTTCCCTACACTTTCTTCTAGTATTTTTATAGTTTCATGTCTTAAGTTTAAATCTTTAATCCAGTGAGAGTCTATCTTAG